GCTGCTGCTGCTGCTGCTGCTGGTGCTGGTGCAGCTGCTGCTGCTGGTGCTGGTGCTGCTGCTGCTGCTGCTGCTGCTGCTGCTGCTGCTGCTGCTGGTGGTGCTGCTGGTGGTGCTGCTGGTGGCGCTGCCGGTGGCGCTGCCGGTGGTGCTGCTGGTGGTGCTGCTGGTGGCGCTGCCGGTGGCGCTGCCGGTGGTGCTGCCGTTGGTGCTGCCGTTGGTGCTGCCGGTGGTGCTGCCGGTGGTGTCCTGGTCTGGTCGATTCGGCATGCTGGAACACGGCACACGGCATTTTTGTGCATGGCAGTGTTTGGATTTTTGATTTGTCCGCAGTATTGGGTGTCTGTTTGCCCAAACCATGATAACATTCATGTGTGAAAACATCCGCTGGTAAGCAAAACACCGACAGGCGTGCCGCTGTATTGCGCAAAGACACGGCCTGGGAACGTTTTCTCGCGAGAAAAATCGGGTTGATTTCTGTCTGCGTCTGCTGGCCAAATTTTTATGATAACGTCACCGGTTCCAAGAGCATCCGTGCCAGAAGCATGATAACAACCATTCGCGAGAGCGTCCGGTGTCCATAACATCCACGGCCAAAGCATGATGACGAGAGCATCCGGTGTCCAGAGCATCCACAGCTAAAGCATGATGACGACCATGCGCGAGAGCAGTCAGTGTCCAGGGCATCTACGGCCAAAGCATAGCATGAGAGCGTCCGTTCGTGAGAACATCCAGTTCCCAGAGCACCCGTGATGACAACCACTCGCGAATAATCTCCGTTCGCGAGCGCATCCCGTGTCCAGAGCATCCACGGCCAAACATGATGACGTCCACCTCAAGCCAAGCATAAACAAGCCAATCAAAGCCGCAGTTGACGAAAGCTGAATAAGAAAATCATGATGAGGAGGATGATGATGTTGATGATGATGATGACGGTGCGGCGATGATGATGGTGCTGATGATGTCGGTGGTACTGATGACGATGATGACGGTGATGATGATGATGATGGTGATGATGATGATGGTGATGGTGATGGTGATGATGCTCATGTTTTGTGCAAGCTTCGGCTCTCAAATAGAGTTCATGAGCAGCAGACGAACTTTGAACAACAGCAGCTTCAGAACTTAAGTGCATGCATCGGTTTGCCAGAATCAGTCTTTCTAAAGATTTGGACCGTATCCCTGAGGCCCGAATTCTGACTTGACGCAGCCTCCGCAGGCTCCATGGCAGCGACCACTTCAGTTCCCAAAGCCGATCCTACGGCCAACCGCCGAGGTGCACATGTCAGTTCATATGTAGCGCAAAGCCGAAAATCCCTGACGCCTTACAGGACCCGATATGCAGCGGAAACTCTGCAGCTTCAACCCCGCTGATGCCCACCAGCAGTACTGCAGGCTCCGTTGGAACTGCAGCGACCGCTTCCATTCCCAGAGCGAATCCCTCGGCCAAAGGCCGAGCTGCGTCGGATTGCTAGGTTTGGCCAGCAAATCTTGCAGGCTTGAGTTCAGCGGTCAAGGATTGGGGGGCCGAGTTCGATTCCAGGATCGTATTTTGGCATCGGAACTTACATTTGGTGTGTAGGAGCCGATTGTTGGTAAATTCCCTGCCAGACTGCCAGCCCCGCACCAGCCCACTCAGAGCGTCAGGTCGCACTTACTCCGGCGCTGCACCACCCTGGCGGAAGACTATGCCTTCGGCAGAACAAGGCCGCCAGGGCTAGCCCTGAGCAAGGCCGACAACCTTCAATATTCAAGTTTGGACATGGGAGTCGAGACTAGACATAAGAAGCCAGTGGGTCGAGACAAAGACCAGTCCAGATTCGTTGGCAGGTTCGAGTTTGGAATGTCAGCAAAAATTGGTTGGGGTACGCTGCAGCAGTGACGAGAGTCTTCAGTTTCAGAATTGGCTTATGCAAGATGCCACAGGGACGATCCAGAAGCACTTCGACTTGTGCGTCCACTGCGACAAAGAAGTTGGGTTCAACTGGACAGGGTTGCAGCTTGAGGCTAAGTGTGTGAGATCAACCCTTGATTTGGAGCTTTCGAGTGCCAGATCGCTCAAGAGCCTTAGCTCTGGCTCGGTCTCTGCGAGGCTCGCTTCGACCAACGGCAAAGGAACCCGTGGTCGTGAAACCGCGAGGCTCACCCCGAATTTTACAAGTGTAAACAGCCATGCCTTCATCCCGTCCTCCATGCTCTGTGCCCAATTCCTCAATCCTCCCACCCAGAAGCCTTGAAGCCTCTCGGCTTACAGCGGCAGGCGCTGCAGTGGGAGGTTTCTGCTTCGCAAATCTTCGCTCGATGTCTTCAGTCTTGACACTTCTGAATATGTCTGAGATCTCAGTGCCTCTCTCTGTTACCCTTCCAGGCGCCGTGCCGATTTCATCAGTCGTGCCGCCACGAGGCCTCCTGGCTCTGATTGTCGTTGTTTTAGCAGTTCAGACTTTGGGTTTGGGGATTTCTCGTGTGTTTGGGGATATCCAGTAGATATCTGCCAGTATCATCCGTCCGTCAAAGCCCCAAGCCTCTGTATGATCGTCGGATTTCGGGGTCCTCTTTGGATTTTGCCACCTTGGCCAGTTGCTCTGAAAGCCGTGGGCTCGCGGGATTCAGGCTTGTGCAGAGTTCGGGTCGCTCGGAAGCTTGGGCAAAAGGATTTCTTTGGCTTCACTTTGAAGCCTACAGGCCGCCCTGCCGCGGGAGCTTGTGTGGTCCGTTTTCGGAGTTGCAAATCCCTTTTTGCATCCAGGAATCCACGTCCAGCAGCGGCTCCGGAACGTGCCTGAAAACCAGACCTCCCCAAGCTGTTAGGTGCTCGGCTCCTCACGAACGGTTCTGATGTTGTTTGGCTTGCCGAGGAGGTCGCCCCGCCGTGGCTTTTGCTGAGGCTGGGACTCTACAAGTTCCATTCCCAAACACTCTTCAGCTCTACAGGCCCACTCATGCAAAGACGAACTCCGCAATCCTTAAGTCCTGAGCATGGCAGCCCTCGATTTGGGCTTCTTTGTTTGATGAGGGACATGAGTCTTTTGCTTCCTGTTTCAAGGCTAAGAGCAAGATCGGCAAATCCGCAGAAAGGTTCAGAATCCTCCGGCAGTCTGGCAAAGACTGGGATTGGCTTTGGTGTTTCTTGCAGCATGTCGCGCCAAAGATCAAGGGCTTAGTTTTCAGGTCTTTACGGCGTTAGGGCCGCAGGATGCGAGCCATCATTTCCAGGAGCACTGAACCTCCCTTCCGAAGCCGCACAACGCAGGGAGCACCGCGGCCGCCAAAGCGGAAGGCGAACTCTGGGTTCGGTGCTGTTTGATTTGTGATTTTCAGACTAGGTTTCGGGTAAAAGTTCGTTCGGAAGCTTAAGACTTAGGACCTCTCCAACTTCTGCATTCCACAGGCCTCATCCCACATTGTTGCATAAACCAGCGACCGTTGGCGAAGGCGGCGTACTAAGTCTTGTTCAGTGCATGACAGAGTCGTTAGCCATCTTGAGTGACAGCTGGTACCTCTTGGAGCCCAAACCCAGCGCCCGAAACAAGAACCTCTGCCAGAAGCACGTCACCTCCATGACTGCGATAATTGTACAGCTGATGTCAAAGCCCATGAGGATTTTGCAGACCCTGACATCCATGCTCCCTGATCATACACAAAGAGCGTACTGTGTCATGAGCCTTGACAGCGTATCATCGTTCCCGATTTTCAGGCTTGTGTCTCGCTTGCGAGGCATCTGACCTACTCCCCTCGGAACCAAAGCTGTTGCGAGAGAGGCTGAGCCTTGGCTCTAGACGATGCAAGCCTGTGATTTCGGGTTGGGGGTTACAGCGGTGTAAGACTTCAGATTGCAACGTTCCAGGCCGAACAAGGCCGGCAGGCACTTGGCCTCTGTCGGTGAGATGCAAGTTTCTTGAATCTCGGCCACTTGGGACTAGAATTCCTCACAGTGGCTCATACAAGCGCAGTCAGTGTCTATCTATGTTAGCACCAAATGACTGTGCATTGTTTCGAACCTGACCGAATTCTGAACTCAGGGGGACACACTACTGGAAAAGGGTGTGTGATGTGCGGGCCGCTTGGCTGCATGGGGTCTTTCTTGTGATCAAGACTCTGGTGATTATCCACTTTGACGGTGCCACTGGTTCAATCTCCAACGGAATGTCCTTTGTATGCCGAAGGGGTTTGGGGTAGCCGACGGAGGCCGCTTATGGTGAAGCTACAATCACCGCCGAGCTAGCCAACACAGAGCTTGCAGACGACGGTGTGGCTGACTGGCTGGCATGGCTGCGAGGAGCCCTTGCACTTGGGATTTCCACGGGCTCAGGAACTCTGCATGGCTGTGTGCTGTTGGGACGACGAGTCCTGTAAACCCACACGGCATAATTACGTAGGTGGTAAAAACTGACGACAATCCTCAAGACGTGGTCTTGTCAGTTCTTTGCGTTCTGCGTGAGTTGGGGGATTGTTTTATGATTTTTTTGATTGATGACGATTTTTTCTGACTTGGCGATGAGCATGTTGTCAAGCCCCGGAAGCCGAATTCCCCAAGTGCGAGGTCACCCTGAGTTGAAGCAGACGGACGTGGAAAGCGTGAGCCTTCCAATGCTGGACCTGTCGAACAACAGGCTCCTAAGCTTACTCCTTTTTTTTCGGGTTTCGCACAGCATCGTGCAGCCCAACTCCAAGCAGTGTGACCTGCTGCCCTCCTGCCAGGGACCTGGAATTCACTTATCCTGAGGGCAACTCCTGCATTCCCAGCTTTGCGGTCATTACTTTAGGGCGGGATTATGTTTTTTGCTTGCTTATTGCTTCAGCTTAGGGCTAACATTGTTTGGCTGTGTGGCAAGTCAGGCTAACTAGCCGCGGCATTCGTTCCATCTGTGCATTCCTGGAAGAGCACTCCGTCCGTGTGGACGAGATGAAGTTCAACCACAACGAAGTAGACGACGAAGGCCTGTATCTGCGCTCCCAACAAGCAGGGCTGTTAGTACTGTTAGTTTATTTTTCGACCAAGGTCGTACTGTTTTTGTTTCGTCCACCGTTCTTTCAAGAGCCTAGGTATCGGATTGCCCAATACATCACTTCGGAGTCCGCTCCAGTAACTGCGCTGCACCTTTGTTCGAATCAGATCAGCATTCTTGGCGTGTTCAAGCTGCTGACAATGCTGTCGCTTCATCCAATGTATCCTTTGGAGACCAGCCTGCACGGGAAAGCTTCGTTCATACCCCTGTGGCTGCAGCTTGACAACAACAATATCACCGATGAAGACCTGCAAGACTTCCTCGACTGCCAGTTGCGTGAGTTGGGCTGCGCTATCTGCCTAGTAGGCAAGCATTGCTCACAGTGGGCTTGCCAATGTGTGAAGCAGATTAAGATGGATGACAGAAAACACAATGCCGCTTGGCGAGCAAGGATTTTTTCGCCAAATTATTTTCAAAGTGCTCGATTGTTACTATCATGCTGTGGAGTCCACTCGTGGCTTTGACCGTGCCATGTTGGTGCTGTTGCTGCTGCGGCTGCTTCAGCAAATGCTGTTGCTAAGATGATGATGAGGATGACGGTAAACATGATGGTGTTGGCGATGATGATTCAAGATCCAACATTTTAGGGCTCGCTTTCTAGGATACAGTCAAGCTTGAGAGCGAGCATCCACTATCAGACGGCAACCCAGGTTGTGCTACACCTCTGTCTGCGCACGCCAGACCAGCCGCCACCAGATTCCAAAGTTCTCCAGGCAGCGAGGTTCTGAAACTTGAAAATTGGGCAAATTGGGCCACTCGTCAATAGTTCTTGTGGGTCTAGGCTTATAGTTGAAGGGTCTCGGGAGCATCGGGATCCCGCGTTTACAAACTGGTTGGCAGAATCAGCCTTGATTTAGCACGAGTTGTGCACCTGAGTTCAGGACACACCTCTTGAAGCCCTGAACCCTAAACTCCGACCTAAAGACATGAACTTGAAGCTTACCGAGAAGTTTCACCATATGCTTCTCAGACGAAGGCGGGGCTGGCTGCCGCCGGTCGCAGCGCTCACAGGATCTTCCAGCAGCCTGGATGCAGGTCTTTTGATGTTCCACAGGCCTATTCATGGCTCCGGGTCTAGAAATGATGAGCCGATTTCAGCATCGCATGAAGCCACGAAGGTCCTTGTCCTGAACCCTTGACGCATGGTTCGCTTGAGCCTGGCTCCATTCAAGACATGGTTATATGCCTGAAAGACACACGGTTGGGTCAGGAACCCGGAACTGCAAGAGTTGGCTCACTTCACGATCTGTAACGATGGGCGCGCGTTGCAAAAAAGGCTCAAGCCCAAAAGCCTCGCACCATCACGCGTCCCTGTCACCCCATCCATCAAAGGCCCCCGAGGTCGCTGACCTGCCGGCAAGATTGGCTGCAGAAGTCGAGCACACCAGGGTCCAGGAGCAACCATGTTACCCTCTGGTGGTTTATGGTTGAACTTCGGCTTTTTCAGGTTCGGTGCAGGGGCTGTGAGGCCTTGGGTTTTGCTTCTAAGCTGACGGTCTGGGAGTCCAGCCTTTAGGGTTACCGAAGTCCCAAGCAGGGCGGTGCGGACGGAGCCGAAGTTCCTGTACGAAGATGCGCTTCCGGGCCTCGATTTGGCATGCGTTGTGTCCTTTCTTGGTTTTGAGTCTGAATGTTTTTCAATCTTTGTACCCTGTCCTTGCGACCGTTTGGTCGAGCTCTGTCTGATTTTGCCTCTGCTTATGAGGCTTGAGTAGTGAGTAGGGTTGGTGTAGACATGGCTTCTAGTAATTCTAGTATCTATAGATGGGGCAACTACTATGTTCTCCTGCAGGGTTGGATGCCAGGCACTTCATGGTGATGCTGAAGCCAGCGGGGTGGCACTGCAGTCTCGGCCACGGTGCCACAGGCGCCCTTACAACCAACAGACGTGTCTGTCGACTCACCAGATCCTAGAGGGCTCCAGCTGGATAGGGATTGACGATCTGAAGGTTTCCAGATGATGTTTTTCCTAAGCCCCAAGTCTGCAGATCCAGTTCCGCAAGCTCGAGTATGACAAACAGAAGACCAAGTTCCCGGCATTCGACTGTGAGTTTCAGTTGTCAGTCCCGGCATAGGTTTGGCAGCCAGTGTCAAGACCATGAGCACTGCTTCTTGCTCAGATTTAGGTTTTCCCAATTTCGGATTTTTGCAGGTGGGGTTTAGGGCTGGCGACCTGGCCGGTGTGTGTGTGTGTGCAAACATCGGATTTCCTTGTCTACGTGTTTGTTCCGCTTCTTACGGTGTACCGGTTGTATGGCTCAACTGAAACTAACAGTGTTTTTATGCTGTGGTTGTGTTTGTTGACTAGAGAGGTTCCAGGGTCTAGTTGTGAGGAGACTGGGTTTTGAATGGTTTCAATGCCCAGCTCCTGCAACTCTTCCGCGACGGCTTGTCTGGAAAAGCAAAAGGCAGTGCGGCAGTAGGCAAGCTTGCTGCCGTTGTGGTGTACCTCTTTGGGTTGCTACTAGTCCACCCTGTCACATTGCACGCTCTCCTTGCTGAAAGCTCTTGTTTGGGTCATCCTATGCCCTCAACGTGTTGTGAGCAGTAGGCCGGGGTTAGTCCTCGCTTGAGTGGTTGAGGGTTGTTTCTTTGGTTGGTTTCCAGTGTTGGGTGGTTGTTTTTCGGTGCCTGCTGGCCCTCACACACCCTCCTCTTGCTAGGAATTCCGGACGTGAATAGCTCAAGGAAAAGAGGGTTCAGCAAAAATGACCCCAATACTTGTAACATCTTGTCGGCACTGAGGACAACAGGAAGGCGAAAGCTGCCAACCTCCTCACTCAAAGTGATCCACCGCCACTACACGACTACATCATCCTGCGATTTGGTGAGGTTGGAGGCAGTGGAATGAAGGAGGCTCGCCGAACGTCTACCAAATTCAAGTTGCGCTCTCGTACATCTCTTGATGGTTTGTCTTGTCAGCTGGAGAGCTGCAGGGCCTGAACAGGCAGTGTCAAGCGCGGTTGAGCCTGGAAGCACCCATCTACCTGGCAGGTCATGAATGATTCCAAGCTGTACGGAATGGTCCACAGGCTCCATTGCTGTGGGTGTTTCGGTTTCTGCAAAAGGCCTGGGGGCTAAGTTCTGCATCTGTCGGAGGGTTTTCGGCTATGGAGCCTGAGTTTTGGCGCTAGGACATTCGACCCCAAACCCTGCACCTTAAGGTCAATGCCCCGCAGCTTTGCTCACTGATCCTTGAGCGGATTGTTTTTCATGCTTGTTGCGAGCACTCTACATCAGCCCTTGTGCAAGTCCGCACGCAGCAAAGGCTTTGTGTCGCTTGACATTTGCGAAACACTTCAGATTCAGCGATGTGTGGAATCCTAAGACTCAGCAATGAGATGCTGTAACGTGATGTCTGCAAGACGATCAGCCCACCCTCCACCTTGAAGAGTTGCCCAGATGTGCGAGCCAAGCCGGTTCTATCAAGAGCTTTCCAAAAGCAGGTGGCACAGATAGCATACATGGTTTTATACCTGAGCTCACAGTCCTGGCTGCAGTTCTCAGCACTCAGCCATCAGCAAGAGCGTGCCAGGCTGGATCAAGGCACATCTGGTCCGCTTCTGATTGCCAAGAACCAGATTGGTTCCTAGACGAGAAGAATCACACGTAGTTTAGGGTTCCGGTTTCTGGATGACTCCACGTGGCTTCGTGGAACAACAAGGGTGGACGAAAAAAGCGGTTGTGACTTTGGGTAGTTGGGAATCTGAAAGATGTTTGGCCTTGTGACCCTCGGGTCTTTGCATCAACTCGGGCTGCAAGGCTTTGACTTCGCCAAGACGAAGATTGTCAATCAGGAGTACCAGCGTGACTACCTCGCCCTCGTCCTTCGGCTGGAGCTTTGTGTTTTTTTTGGGAGCTGGCCGCAAGCTGCGCCGGTGTGGGATCATGCTGCAAATGTGTAGAACAATGTAGAACGTCTACCCAAGACAAGGCCAAATAGAACAGAGGATGGAAAGCTGCTCGCACGTGCACCTTCTGCAACGGCGCCCGAAGGAATCATGCATATTTGTCGAGCTTCCGGTGTAGAGGCTGTCACAGAAAGGGCTGAAATCAAGTTCGACACAGCAGTTGCCTGAAACTCGAGGTTCAAATCCTCAATCGATTGTCCGCACATACAGACATGCATGCAGACGTTTCTTCTCTCTCTCTCTGACTCTCTCTCGCGCTCTCTCTCTCTCTCTCTCTCTCTCTCTCTCTCTGCATGCTTAGTCCCGCATGCGTTGGTATATGTGTTGTTAGCAATCTTTGTTGAATTTCATCGTCATCGTCATCATCATCAAAAGGACCATTTGTTACATGCTTGACTGTGAGGGCATAGGCTTGTACATTGCGTCTGCTACACATGATGCTTTTGTATGGCATTGTGGTGGCTGTTCTTACACTTGCATCCATGCCTGCACCTTGTAAGCAGTCTCAGCCCCAAATCCGAAACCACAAGATCAGGTCCATGGCACCTTCGGGCGGGACGCGTTGCACGGCCATGGGCCCACTGGCCTCATCCAGGCAAGGCTTTAACATCAGGGTATGCTTCGGGCAGTTGGACTGCAACAAGTGCTAGGTTTTGGGGCTGTGTGGAATCTCAGGTTCAGGGCAATGTGGGGTGCAGGGTGACTTCCAAGAATTTAACTACCTGTTCAGAAATGTTTTTTCTTTCAGCGTTGTTTGAGGATGAGTGTCAACAACTCTTTCGCCACCTTTACAACCCAGCATGCAAACTTCAAACCATGACCAGCGTAACAGTCTTGTTGCCTGCAAGAGTTAGTTTAAAGTTGCAGAGTCCCGGGACCATAGTACCGTTGAGGCGCCGGTCGACAGATCCATGTACGACTGGACTCGACGATGTGTGATCAGTGAGAGACTGGGTTGCAATCTCCTCGTGCAGAAGCTGTGAGGGTCAGTTTTTTCGGGTTTGCTGTTCGGAGTCGTGGTGAAGACAACAGACGTGGGCTTTGAGTTTCGGGTGATTGTTTCATGTTGGCTTTTGAAGCTGGGTCTCGGGATCTTCATTGATTCATGTTGGTGGGCCTGGTCACTGAAGGTGAACCATGCTTGCACTTCGTGACAGGTGCATGCACTTTTAATAGTTTTATCTTAGCCTCAACCTTAAAGTTTTCACCCTTTAAACAGTCTCGAGCTTGGAACTGCTTCTTGCGCCCTACGAACAAGGTCTTCTGCCGACCCTTAGCCGTCATCTTTCTGATCTTCTTTGTGTCGGTGTATTCACCCTTGCTCTTAGTCCTGCGGTGGTTGGTCGATTAATTTGATGATGAGCGAATGAATATGGTGATGATGTTGAGCATCAGTCTTCATCATATGAACAGTTGTCATCATGACTGTAGCTGCGGTCGGAACTGTTCTTACCACTTCAGCTCGTGGGACCACACAACATGCACTCCATGAGCCTGGAAAGGAGAAGGTGTGTTGGTAGTCTGTTTCCGATGGACATGGCTCGAGAGCTTGGGGAGTCACAGGGGCCTTTCCACCAATTGTAGCAGGATTAAAAGGAACACAACAAATACATGCAAGATACTATGGAGGAAATTGGTTCGTGTTTGCGTATGAATGTCATTCGTTCATCAGTCACTCATGACTCGAACGGGAGAGCTTGAGCTTGTTGCTAGGAGTTGTAGCCTGAGGGCAACCCTTGCACATTCAGCCGCGCCGAAGCTGAACGAACCTCGTAAAATTCAAGCTTCGCACACGTTTTGGCCGCCCAAATCCCGAACCCTGAGGAACGGGCAGCCAGCCTCGACCCTCTACGAGCGCATCGCCGAGTACGAGAGTCGAGATCGTAAGGCCAAGCTAGTGAGCCCGCTCTTCCGTGTTGTATGTCATACGTGAAAGAAGTTCAATCTCCAAGCCCCTAATCAATCCCCTGATCCCTCAACGATCCTCTAATCACAACTAAATTCGGAACATGGCGGTTGGGGGCTGTGCTGGAAGCAGATAGGAACCTCGCAGCCATGTGCCCGAAGTACTGGGACAAAACCGAGGAAGTAAGGGAGGAAGTAGGCCGAAACCGAGAACACTATCGCTTTGGACCGCACGAAACATCACAGAGTAGTGGGGTAGGGATGTGCTGCATGTTCTTGAAGGGCGGCTTCAAGCTTGTGCTAATCTGTTCTTTGCCTCTCGAGAGCTCTGTCACTCAGACTTGAGCTTCTGTTCTCAGGCACGCTACACGTTGCTGCACTGCCGGCTGCTGACCGGACGAACTCATCAGATCCGGGTGCATATGGTTCCTCGCCGGTTAAGCCGCTCCGATCCTGAAGCCCGAGATGTCCATTGCTGAAGTTGAGCTTGAGCAAGATTCATATCCGGCACACCGAAGTTAAGTGTGATGAAGCTTGTCCAGAGTGGTCGCGACGTTTTAGGCTGAGGTAGAGCGCATCTTGGTTGATGCACTAAGGAGTACATCGGCATGCCTCTGGTCGGGGATCGCCAGTGTCTTGAATTGAATGGGAAGCATGGGGCAGAATTGAAGTCTCTCACCTGAAACCTGCAACATCTAGGGGTTTTTGTTTCCGTGAGGAAACAGCTTTGAGAGCTCATGCACTATGCTTGTCGCTGCGTTTGGACCTGTCGCATGACATGGTGACTACGCCGAATCCAAATCTTTGTATGCGCTCTTGCTGTTGCGTCAGATGTTATTCCGAAGCAAGAACACACAGCCACATTGAGGCTTCAACAGCAAGCTGATTCAGGTACTGGCGTCATGGCCAAGCGGATGACCCTAACCTCGGCTGCAACCGGACCTTCCTGCACAAGGCTGATGGGCTTTCAGGTTTCGGGGCGGGAGAACCGACGGCTGCTGTCGCACACCCTCTGGAGCATAGAGTTTACGAGCAGGCAAATGAAGCTTTGATGGTGCTCCAAACTAGTTGTGGGTTCTTGTGCATACTGTCCCAGGGCACCGAACCTGAAGGGCCTACAGCAGCTCAGAAGCAGCAACAGACCCCGCCCGGGAAGAGTATTTCAGAACGTCTGGGATGCCGAATTGTCCACATCCAATGCTTGAACACAAGAGTTGCAACGATGCAACGACGACACGGAGAATGAGGTGGAGCAGGAGCGGGGAGCGGGACAGGAGGAGGAGGAGGAGGAGGAGCAGGCGGTCGCAGTAGCCGCAGCCGCAACCGCAGCAGCCGCAGCGGTAGTGGTAGTAGTAGGAGCAGCAGCAGCGGC